GGAGTTCCTGTGTAAAGGCAAGACTGCGTGTGAAGGATAGTGGATCCTTCACAGTGAATCACAGACTGTATAAATGAGAGTAATGGCTCCTAAGTCTGAAGAGAGGTAGGCTTTAGCCAGGTTGTGAAGGGCTTTAAATGCCACAGAGAGGAGTTGGTATTTGTACTAGAGTTCTGGCTAGCAGCTGTGGCACAGTACATAGACCGTGGGCCTGGTGTCAGGAAGAACTGAATTCATATTTGACCTCAGATACTCTCTACTTGTGAGGAAGTCACTTAACCTGTTTGCCTCATTTTTCTCAACTGTAAAATGGAGATAGCAACAGCACCTACTTCCCAGGGTTCTTGTGAGGATCAAATGAGATAATATTTGTAAAAGCATTTAGTACAATACATGGCACATAGTGGTGCAATATAAATGCTTTCTTACCCCACCCTTTGTTTTAAGGTCTATACCGGGGTGAGGAACCTGCGGCCTCAAGGCCACATGTGGCCCTCTAGGTCCTCAAGTGCAACTGTTTGAGTGAATCCAAACTTGACAGAACAAATCCCCTTAATAAAAGGATTTGTTCTGTAAAACTTGGACTCGGTCAGAAGGCCATACCTAAGGCCCTAGAAGGCCACATGTGGCCTAGAAGCCCCAGGTTCCCCACCCCTGGTCTATACGTTTATCAAGGGCATCCTTGATGAAAATATGAAAAGGGACCAGACAGATATTTTTCTTTGGTAAACTATGCCTTTATAGTAACACTTGTCTGAGAGATAAAAAAGATTACTTAATGGTTTTTTAAAAATCTTATTCAAAACAATGTAGGGTTAAAGTTCTCCTAAAACAAATTTCTGTCTCATCCTTAATGCCTGTCATTACTGGATACTCTAATCTTCTAGTTACATTTAGATGCCATGCAGACGATGAGGTGCCTTAGCAGTGAGGCTGGTGCATAAACCCTTCAGGTCTCTCAGACTGGAAAGGTTTGAGTATGGCACCAGCACAGACCATATGCCTTCTGAGTACTGTCCCAGCTAAACTCAGAGAAACTTATCATCAGAAGGTTGGCCACAAGCTCGATGAATTTTGTCAGAGTAAATCAAAATATAATTCGATTCAATATGTATTTATTGTGTCTACTATGTTCAAGGCCCTGTTCTAGGTCCTGTGGATATAAAAATAAAAGGAAAATAACCCCTGCCCTCAAGGAGGTTACATTTAGCTAGAGAAATATAGTTTGATGAGAATATAAAAAATAATTAGGGTTTGGGGCTAGGGAGAGTGTACTGACTGCACAACACACACACACACACATCTTTTAAAGTTTGCAAAGCACTTCATATAATATATCTCGGTTGATTCTCACATTGCCCTATGAAGTACTATAGCATTATTATCTACATTTTATAGACAAGGAAACTTGGCATAGGTCAAGTAACTTGCCCAGGGTCACACAGCTGGTAGGTGCCAGAGGCCACGTTCAGACTCCAATCTCTCCTAACTTGAAGAACTTCCTGGCTCTTTACTCATCTATGTTGTTATCTAAGATGACTATTACCCTAGGAACAGAAGAGTTGTGATCTATATCTGTGTACAGACTACCCACACTGATGGCACTGATGAAGTAGAATAATAAATAGAGGTAGGGTAAATTAGTTTAAAAAGGATTGGGAAGGGAAATACATATACATACTAATGTGTACCTACTTGACTGGGCTTGTGGCTAATCTCTCCCTAACTGCAGATGGCACCTAACCTGGGGTCACACAAGGTGCTGGAGGCCTTCCTCTAAATCTCTTTAATTTGTACCGTAAGTACTACAGGAGCGCAGAGACTGCGCATTGGCTAACTTCCCTACGTATAGGACTAGCCTGCCTCCTTTTTCAGTCATAGATCTCTGATGACATCCTCCACACTACTGCTTCTGTGCAATTCTTCACTGATATTTTCTACCACACTCCTACCATGTGCCTTTATTTCCCTTTGGCAATATGACTTACAGCCACAGAACATATTAGAAAGGTTTTGATTTTGTCTTGGGTACAGACCTTTGATTTTACCAGTGTAAAGAACTCTCTCGTATGAGAATGCCTTCCATCAATGTAGATTAGCAACTCATCTATATCTTAATAGTCTTAGTCGTGGGGAACCTTCAGCCTCAAGGCCACATGTGGCCTTCTAGGTCCTCAAGTATGTCCCTTTGACCAAATCCAAACCCCTGGTCTTAGTTATTTGGAACACCAGAAGTTTGAGAGACTTGCTGATAATCCAACAGCAAATATTTTTTACAGGCAGAATTTAAATCCAGGTCTTCCTCACTCTAAGACTGGTCCTCTATCCACTGACTAAGCCATGCTGTGTGATATTAAAAAAAGAATGGACTTTTGTTTCAAGGAGAAGTTTAAAGTCACTAGAAGCATTGCACAGTTTCTCAAAAACAATCAAAACCACTGTCTTAATCACTTGTGTACATGTATTTAACAACTCTAAGTATTTTTTTTTTGCATAGGCAACCAGGGTTAAGTAACTTGCCCAGGGTCACACAGCTAGTAAGTGTCAAGTGTCTGAGGCCAGAATTGAACTCTGGTCCTCCTGATTCCAAGGCCAGAGCTCTGTCCATTGTACCACTAGCTGCCCCAAATCTCTTAAGTATTTTTTTCTTGATTACATAAATTTTATATACATTTCAGATTATACTTATATATAAATCAGTTTGCCCAAACTGGTAAATATAGCCTTTATTCCCCTATATTTTGTTTGTTCTTTGACAGTTCCACCTTTCAACAGTAAGAGTAATGCAGAGGTAGCAAAAGCATTTTCTATTTTTTTCACATATAAGAGCCCCTGTAAATCATTTTAAAGCTATATGAAATCCACTTGAAAATTTAAACTGCTTAACTTGGGACAGATTATGTTAAAGATTAATTAGGCTCTCATAACATTTTTAATGTACTAAGGTTTTATGTACTAAGGTTTTTTTTTTAAATTTTATGTCTTCTCTACTTTTTTGTAAGTAAATTCTTTGTAAATGAGCTGTCACCTGTACCTTTATTGCTAGTTAAGAAAACTTTTTTTTTGTAGGGGTGGAGCTAGGCAATGGGGTTATGTGTCTGAGGTCGAATTTGAACTCAGGTCCTCCTGAATCCAGGGCTTTATCCACTGCGCCACCTAGCTGCCCCAAGGAAACTTTTAATAATTCCATTTCTACAAATCAATATAATGGTAGTATTGTCACTTCTATCAGTCATGGCTTTATTCGGTTTTCTCTTGGCCATATTTGTATGCAGTTTATATATTCCTAGCATATGAAAGCTGCAAAATGCAGCTAACATACATACTACTTAAATAAGATATTGTCTCCTACATATGCTTTCATTACTGTTTGTGGCATTTTGAATATAAATGAGAGGAAGAATTTTTATACAAATAGTTTTTCCTGATTAAATTTTTAAGGATATTTTCAGAAGGCAACTTAATTTTTAATAATATCTCAAAGTAAGTAGATTTACCTTTAAAAATCCATTGGGTATATAATGACTAATGGGAAAATATGCTTAATATGAATGTATAAGTAGAGCCTTTATCAGATTGCATGCCATCTTGGGGGTGGGGGAGAGGAGTGGGAAGGGGAAAAAATTTAAAACTCAATCTTATGGAAGTGAATGTTGAAAACTAAAAATAAATAAATTCATTATAAAAAAAAATCCATCAGGAAGGCGTCTATAAAACTTTTTGTTTCTAAACGTTTGCAGATTTTTCCTCCCGAGTGTATGTGTATGAAAGCGGGGCGGGGGGGTGGGGGTAGGGTGTTAGATTTGAGATGAGGCAGAGGAAGGGCTAGTATAGTCTAAAGTGTCAAGTCACCTGGAATTAAAGAGATTGCCTACCTGTGAGTAGGGCATTCCTAGTTCATATATTTTTTCTACTTCAGAATATATCGAAATCAAGAATTGTGTTCAAATGCAATAAGTACTCTTTGGGAATCAGTCAAACAATGGAAAGAAACCATGATTTTTTATCCTGTGTTTATTATCTTACCAAACGCAGCACTTCTACTTGGTAGGTCAAGGAAAGGGGATCCCTTTACTCTTAGCTTTCAAAGGGATTTGATATCTTTTCATTTGACCAATTTGACCATTTGTTTCCTATGGGGAAACAAAAGGTGTGATAAATAAAAGGGAAGAGACAGGAAACCATAAAACAGAACAGGCTCTGTACCAAACTGAGTCACCTATGCCAATTCCTATAGGAGTCTAGAATAGTGCATTGGAAAGAACACTGGTTTTAGAGTTCAAGGACCTTCGTTCGGGTCCCAGAAATACTCCTTAGCTTCCTGTGTGAGCTTGGCAAAGTCTCTTCATTTCTCTGGGCCTCATTTTCCTTAGTTGTAAAATAAGGGGGTTAGACTAGGCCTTTCTGTGCTAAACCTTTGATTCCAAGGCCTAAAAGGAATTGTTAGGCCCAAAGATACCAAAATGTGAGAAACTCTTGTATAGTATTTAACATTAGGCTATATTCACTCATTGTATCAACTAAGCCTTGTATTTTAGACCCAAGAAATAATAATGCTGTCCAAGAAATAATAAATAGTTGGTATTTATCTGCATACATTCCGTAGTTAGTCAATAAGTATTTATTAAACTCCAGTGTACTAGGGACTATGCTAAATGCTAGGGATAAAAAAGGAGGCAGAAGGTACTTCTTTCCTTCCCTCAAGGAGCTCACAAACTCATAGGAAATGTTTGAGGTTTCCCCAATATAGAATGTAAGCTCTTTGATAACAGAGATTGTTTAATTTTTAAATTAGTATCTCTAGTGCCAGCTACATAGTAGGTACTTAATAAATGCTAGTTGAAAGGAATGATTGTTTTTTGAGTTATTTTGTAGACTGAAGGAGAAAATTAGATAAATATATATTTTGAAGATTTTGATTGAGAGGTATAACACCTATTTTATAATATATTAATATAAATGCTACATATTGTAAAATTATTCATTTATTTATTTTACAGAGGAGGACAAATATAATATTTATTCCAATTTGCTCTTCAAGTATTTCTTGGCTGAGGGAATAGTCTGTGGACATACTTTGTTGGTTGCCTCTGCTAAAGAAGACCCTGATGACATTTTACAGGTATGGGAAATACTTCGTTAATGCATGAAATTGTAAAGATTATATATGCATGTATGTCTTTGAGCATATTACTTTTTAAAATTAATCCTTTACAGTGCAGTCTAGCTTTAGAACTACTACAAAAGCCAGGAAAGTTGGTGAATTGTTGAGATTAATACTGGGAGTTTGTGGCCAGTCTGATCCTGTAACTAGTGTCCTCTGAGTACCCTTTACTTCTGCCACATTGATTGTTTTTAAAAATACCTAGGTTTAGTGCACTTGGAGGTTTTTTAACTGATAAAAAATCGTATTGAACACAAAGTAGGCATTACAAAGCATTTTATTGGCTTAACTTTTCCAACATTTTCTTTTTTGTATTATTCTATTATTCCTTTCTTGGTTTCACTCATGTTTTTGATGTTTTTATGATTTTTCTCAGTACTGTAGTAATTGAATGAGTCTCATGAAATTTTAATCAGATTTTCTTTACCTTTCAAGAGCAGTCCTTATTTGAAGAATTCAGAAATTTACTAACTTAGACAACAACATTCATGTTGGTAGACCACTTATTTTATTATTAAGGAATCCTTTTACTTGGACTAACATAGATGTCTTTTGACTAAGAATATGTTCTACTGTCATTATGGCCATTATGTTTTATCTTGTGCACTCAGAAAGAATGTATTCCTGATGACATGATATAATTGCTGCCATGAGCATCTAATAGTCCTGAATAGTGGGTTTTCTTTATGTAACATAAAAGATGCCCTGTAGCAGTTGCAAGTTTTTATTTGTTCTGTTTCCAACCTACAGCTTGAAAGGTGTTCGTATTTAATTAGAAGATTTCATTTACGTGACAATTTTATACAAAAACGTACTTTGTATCACTAAGTTTTCTAATGATTAGAGAAGTAGACTTGACCTTTTGTGGATGCAAACTATGATATTTGGGCATTGCCAAAAAAAGGAAAAAAATCCCTTTTTAAAATCTGTGGTTTTCACTGGTAAGCAACTTCTTGTGAAGATACTCCCTTTATGACACCTATGCATATTTTCAGCTGTTCCACAGCTTGTAAACTTTCCTGAAGCCCTGAGATGTTAAGCAATTGGGCCAAAGTCACACAACCAGCATGTATCAAAGGCAGAGATGGGACTTTAACCCGCTATGCCAAACTATCTCTTTTGACTCGGTGTATAATTATTTTCCTTTACTTACTTCCACCTAAATTTAAAATTAATTTGAATTATGAAATCAATATTGAAAGTTTCTACATATGATACTAATTTTAAAATAATTTTACTATTTTAAAATAGTAATTTTAAATAATTTTAAAATACTATTACTATTTTTACATACTGTAAAGCTGTTATTTTGAAAGTATATGGCTTTTTGTTAGCTATACTTATATTTGACCTAATCAGCAATTTTCAATTTTGTATGGGCAATATTTACTATTTTCCTTTCCTATAAATGTGTTTTGGATGAGGGTGTGTTATATCAGTACTGCACAGTATCATATTGTCAGTTGCCAAACAATTCAAAGCTTTACTTTTTATTGGATAAGAAAAAAAGAATTATCCCACTTAATGTTCTTAAATGTTTTAGGAGGTAATATATGATTGAAAAATATGATCAAACAAAATTTTAATTATAATAGAATAGAGATAAAATGAACATCTCTTCTAGACTAGTAAGCATAACCTTTCTGGCCCATCTCTGATGCTCACTACCTGAATCACCTTGGGCAAGTCACTTAACATTGCTGGGCCTCAGTTTAATCATCTGTTAAAAGAAAAAAAAAAGAGGTTTGATTAGGTGACCTCCAATGTCCCTTCCAGATCTACAGCTGTAATCCTATGACCTTTAATAAGCTGTCATTTTGCTGAAAACTAGCTGCTTTATGTAATGTGATAATTTTATACTAAGAAAACTATATTATGCTAATAACCTGGCTTCTATAAAGTATTCAGTGTCAATATATCCAACATTTTAATAATAATAACATATTTAGAAATTTACCATTATGCAAACATTCTTACAAATGAGTGACCAAAACCGAGGCATTAGCAGTGTTTACAAATATGGACAATACTGAAATCCAGTAATTGCTCTGCTTTAATTTTATGATATATGATTGGGAGTTTCTTGAACCTATAACCAAGACAAATATTGCTGATGCAAGGAAGGGGAAAAGACAATCTTATAGACCATAATTATCTTAAAACTGTGTATAACTAAAAGGCAAGTAGAGGATAAAAAGCCCCATCAGCTGCCTAAGATATATTATATTACCACCCAGCAATTTATCCATCATCCTTTGAAAACATATTCATGCCTATTGTAGTCAAAGCCCCTTCAGGAAGTCAGCATTAAGATGTTACACTGAAAAATTACACCCCTGTAGAAAATCCTATAGAACAATATACATGATGTTTTTTAAAAGCATTTTAAACACATATGCTGAGCATTTTTTTCAGTTAATATACTTTTATCTAAAAGAATACTTATGGACCTCTTAAGTGTATATATCATAATAACTATTCATAGGAATGGAGCTACTATGCTGTGCCTCAGAGGGAAAGTATAAATTGCTTACATCTTTTTGAATACTTTTAAATTTGTCATTGTGTAAACTGTTGTTTCATTAACAAATAAATAATATAACATTAAAATGTACTTTTTGTGAATGAAAACAAGAATAATAACTTTTTTTGCTCCCTTTCCCCATAATTTACTATTATAGTACCAGAATAAACATACCAGGGCCATTCATTACTTGTTGGAATATGTGTGTTTTTAATGGGAAGCTTAATGATTTGCCCAATCAAATGGATAATCATACTATTTCATAATGTATCTGTGATTAGGATTGAAAATAAATATTGTTAATAATGACTCATCAAAATAAAAGAGAGATAAATTTGACACTAACCAAAAGCATATCTAAATTTCGAGGAAGAAGTGGGAACTATTGCTCTGATGCCTGTGTTGCCATATTTCTTGATTTATTAATTATGCCCAATCTAACAACAAATATGATTAAAATAAAGTAGGAGGTTAGCATGACTTTAAGTGATCTGAAACTGTTTTCAAAAGTGTAGACGTAGACCAGTCCAAACATTTAGATTCAGTCAAAGGGCTGCACTCGAGTACCTAGAGGACCACAAGTGACTTGGAGGACGCAGGTTCCCCACCCCTGATAGTGACCGAGTACATGCTTGCCCGAGGTCATGCTGTAGGTATGACTTGGTTGTTAAATGAATCCTTACTTTGTTTGTAGTATTTTTATGTTTGTTTTGGTTTTGTTGTTGTTGTTGTTGTTTTTGGCTAGGCAATGGGGTTAAGTGACTTGCCCAGGGTTACACAGCTAGTAAGTGTTATGTGTCTGAGATCGGATTTGAACTCAGGTCCTCCTGAATCCAGGGCCAGTGCTCTATCCACTGCGCCACCTAGCTGCCCCTGTTTGTAGTGTTTTTAAGAATTAAAGAAAATACTAAGTAAACATTTGAACTTTAAGGTCAGTTATAACAGAATTTTATATCTTTAATATAAAAAAAATCAGAATGTATGAAACATTAATACTCTATTCTTCCAGGAGTCATAAACTATATGTTATGTGTTCTGATCTGTAAACAGCTATTCTCTAATACTCTTGCAGTTATTGAATTTTCACTGTACTTATCAAACTTAATTTGAAATACCTTATAAAAGTTAATAGTCTAGTGAAATAAAATTTATATGATACCAAAAGTTTTCAGGACTATTAAGACATATTTAATGCATTTAAATAGAAATTTACTATTAGTGCTGTAGGATATTGAAAGTATAATTTCTCTTAACAATACCTTTCAAGAGACATGTGAAATGAGGTGCTTACTTTGTACAAGGCCCTTTGGTAAGTGCTGGACAAAAACAAAAACAGGAGAAAAGAAAAGTTCTTGCCCTCAAGGTGGTTATATTCTACTGGAGGGGTAAAACGTGTAATCAGATAATTATTTCAGGGAGAGGATACCCATAACCACAGTGATGTGGACAGAGATGGTACCTGAGCTGAGCCTTGAAGGAAGATAAAGATACCAACAAATTGGAGGTGAAGAGGGGATGTAGCCCTCTCCGTACACGGCAGCATCCTGGCTCCCTTGCTGTTCCTCACCCCCAGTGCTCCATCTCCTGGGTCTGTTCACTTCTTTACACTGGCTTTCTGCCCCCTTCTCCCCAGCTCCCTCTTCTCCACTCTCAGAACCCCTGCTGCCCTTCCAGATTCAGCTCAAAGACCAAAAGCCTTTCCCAGCTTCCCCAGCTCTCCTTGTATTTTCTGCTCTAAAGTTGCTTTGTATGGAAGCTGTATGTGTCTTGTGTATACCTATCACATGCTGTCTGCCCCATTAGCATGTTAGGCCCTTGAGTACAGGATCTATTTTTGCGTTTGGTTTTAGCACAGTACCTGGCATAGAGGAAATATTTAAGAAATGCTTGTTGATTGGCTGTTTGATGGGGAACAGCCTGTACAAAGACATAGAGGCTTGGGATGCCAAGTTCAAGGCCCAGCCAGTAAGCCAGTTTGGCTGCAATGTTGAGGCCAGGCCAAGGGCAAAGTTATATCAAAGTCATTCAAGGATGAAAATGGAAAGACAATAAACAGAAAAAAATGGAAAAGATTTGTGAAGGTCATTTTAACAAACTGTCTTCTCCATAAAGGACAGTTAAACTACCGAACTTGGATCCAAGAAATGAGCTCCCACTGTGCCCATTACCAGACTTACAGTTGAGCTGACACTGTACTGTCATCTTTCCTTGCATCATGCCGCATGATGACTTCAACATCATTTCTAACCCTTCTAATGCTCTACTTTGTTACTTAAGCATTCTCTGCAGCCAGCCTCAATATTATACCCGATAGGTATAAATGTTATACACCATAGGTAGGATGTTTTTTCCATAGTTTCCAGCTTTTTGAAACTTTAGAAACCATTGGTGATGTTTACTGTGTATGAAAGTCACAGCTGTTTTTGTTTGTGTA